TAACAAATGAAACTAAAATGCAAATGTAAAAAGTTCATTTTACAGGTGGAACTATAAACTTGTGAATCTTTCAAGATGTAGTTTTCAATGTGTTAGAATGTGTCTTCCTTAAAGAAGCTTGTGAAGTGTTTTATTATTCAAATGCAACTAATATCACATAACAGATAAGTTAATTTCATAACATTACTTCACAACATCAGTTTTCTTGATTTTGCTGAAATTAGTGAAGTTTAGTGAAAACACTCCACTTCTAATGGATATGACGAACATTCCCCTCTAATTCCCAAGTGCAGAAACCCAGAATTGTCAGAAGATCCAGAAGGAACTTTTATTGTGAAGGAAGTCATGTATAATTTTGGTTATTTGCAATTATCAAATGGATGTACGGCGGCAAAAGTACCGTGGTTTCGTTTCAAACGGCCGACTAATTACGTCTGGGTGGATTCTGAGGCAAAGTTATGCAGTTTGCAAAATTGGAGTTTGAGAAATTAGGTAACTCTATATGCAAATTACTCTTAACAACCTTCTCGGGCATTAAGCAGTTTGAGCGTCATATGTGATAAGTCTACACTTATTAAGTACAGCCAGGGCAACGACCTACTCTTGCTGAGGTAGATTAGATCATAGTAGAAACAAATTGGGAAATGTTTGCAATAAACTTTATAAAATTTTGTTAAAACGTTTTAGTAATTATTTTATTATTTTCTAATAATAGATTGAATATTTTAAAATTTTCGAGGATAATACCCTCACACGAGTATTTAAAATCTGACAATTATTTTCATCAATGCCCAAGTTTTTTTGTTTAATTTTTTAAATGTAGATATAATAAATGTAAAAGTGACGATTTTTAACCGTATTTATACAACCTGGTTTTGCTATTTGCCTGCAAATATTTGAATTTAATTCGGTCAATAAATGTAGCTTTAAGTACTGATACGTAATAAAGGTAAGCACCAAAATAATTGCTTTTACTAAGTATGACACCTGGATTACAAAGGTTGAAACTAATGCGTTTTCTACGCAAATATCATTACCAACGCAACCTAATTAGTAGGATCATATTTTCTACCGGCAAAAGCTCAATAAATATTGCCGAGACTAATCTCTTATTACCAGTATACGTGAGGTCGAGACAACTTCAAGATTTAACCCAGAGTCCATTATAAGAATGATTGATTCTTGGTGCCAGTCTTAAAGTAGATATAACAGAATATTATAGATACACCAGTGCAATCTTGTCTTCTATCTGCTTGACAAGCAATAGAATAGAAACATGTTCAGTTTACTTTGACTTACATGTGAAGGTCAAGAAAGATTTCAGAATTTTTTTTTATCAAAAATCAACTCAACTGCTTAATAAAGAGCATTTGAAAATGTTAAGAATTTTGGCATCACTACTGGTAGAATGATAGAAGCAAAAAGAAAATATGTTTTTGCTTGGTTTTGATTTTCAACACAATCAACATTTTCTTAATATTACAAAAAAATTGTATGATGCAACAACGCATGTAGTTTATAACAAACAATATGACCAAAAATGCATTTTTACGAGTTCTGAAAAACTTTTAGTATTATAAGCATATATTTTTTATTTTAAGTTAATTTATTTAATAAACATGAAAATTGAGCGGCAATAATCGGACGAAGCAACCACTGACAAAATTAAACTACTGATTATTGCGTATAGAAAACTTAAACAGATTATTAAAACTCGAAGAAATGTTCACAGCTAACGAATTCATTTACTGAGATGGGTTTTTCTTCCATCTATTTCTGCACTGAACAATCCCTATCAGTTTGAGCCCATGCTTTTGAATCACCCTGTATAAAGATTTTTTATTTTTTGAAATAAAAGGTGAAACCAGTAAAACTTTGTCGTAAATGTTCTTGCATTAAAGTTGTACTATGGGTGGTTTATTTCATATTTATTAAGTGAAGAAAAAATGTGTTTTCCTCTATCTTTTTTTGCACGAACATTTCTGTTCTCACTGTTAAGATTTTACGCGTTCGAGAAAATAATTTAAAATATATCACCTTTCAGAAGAAGTATTGACATTCCTAATATATAGCAAATACCCAGTATACATTTCCATAAATTTAATATTTAGAAACTACTTTTGAAATTCCGCAAATGTGCCTAAATCACTAGATTTTTTGACTCTCAAATTCAAAAAAAATGAACAACAATGAAAGAGAAATTAATATAAAACTTGTGAGCATCGACTACTAAAACATACATTGTAACTAAAACAAAGGCGAAAATTGATATTATAATGAAAATTGATATCAGCTGTCACAGAAATTAAAGTTGCAGTGGTCGTAAACTGTTCTAAACCCACATCGCAGATTAAAAACCTGTAAATTATTTGCTTCCTTGAGCTTTTCCAGTTTTTTCATCTATAATTGCCGTCCTAAATTTCGCACATATTTATCAACTAATGCAAGATAAAATTTATTAATCTGGATAAACTGATACATAAGCAAATAATATTAAGTCATAAACATTTTATTAAACGACTAGTCATTGACATTCCTAGAGAAATAGTTGTCTGGTTTATGCACTTACTGTTCCTTAAGTACTGGATGTTTTGTGCTACCACGATAATTGCTTAAAACTATTTGGTAATATTGTTCAATATTCGTGCCCTGGCCAAATAGCGAAGAGTCCAGTTAGTTTGGAAGCTAGTTGATGAACCAGCCGAGTCAACACTCTGACCTTAACATAAATATACTATGCCAACATTGCACTGGAAGCCTAAAAATACAGGTTTTATTTTTCTAGTATCATGTAGGATGGGTCCATTATATAGTCACATAGATAAATCAAGTTAGGACTTGATTGGTTTGAATCTAATAATTTTTCCGAACTTTACACAGTTCTGAGTGAGAATGGTAATTCGAGGATTTCATCTTTCTAGTTTGATGTAAATTATCCAATTATTAGCAGATACTTTGGATTGAATATAAGCCACATTTCTTATCAGATTGCTTCTACACACAGTAAAACTGATTGAATGAAAAATTGAAAACAATTAAATTGGACAACCAATCCAGAAGAAATAGCTCCTCTTAAACACATATACAATATACCATTTAAATTATATAAACCAAGTTCTTCAATAATATAAAATATGTGTTTGCACGATTTTATAACCAGAGACAAAACTTTTCTAACTAAATAAGATGAAAACCGAGTTAAATTAACTCCAAAGTTCAATGAAACTCACGTACAGCTACCTGGAATACAGTAATTAGATACTTTTCGAATAAACCAATACCCCAATGATACATTTGATGGCATTAGGCATCATTTCACGTCTAAAATTCAGTTAAAACTTCCAAGGCAACATCGAAATGAAATTTTAGATATATTCTACGTATTTGAATAAATTTTATTCCCTACTGGCGTCTGAAGTATGTTACAGCAAGGAAATATGTGTGTCATACTCTGGACAGTTATGGAAAAGTATTGTTAGCGTTTGGAATTTCAGTCGAAAGACTATGTAAATGTAAACTTATTTGTAAATACATATTGATGGATGTACTCTGTAACAAAGTTACAAAATAATTTTACCAAACATTTTTAACATATTGAATTACTCCAGTTAGTCGGGAACCTTTTAATATTTTTATTCTTTTTAAACGCCTTTTATTCTTTTTAAATTAAATGAGGCTATGCAAGTTTTAACTTTCATAATACTTATACGAAAAGATCAGACGAATCTTGTTTCATGAGAAATCAAACGCTGCAGAAATAAATGTGCTTAAATAAAACCACATGCTTAAATTTGCTGTAAACGAACATTTTGTCATCAATTTCCATTAAAAGAACAGCAGCTCGCTGGAAATCGAATATATATTTCTCATTGTACTTTTATATTCAATACACAATTCATTTGCCTCATTGTAGTTCGTATTATATACTAACAAAAGGTGCGCATTAATAAAATACAAACAAATTCGACTTTACATTGCACTTAAAAGCCATCCATTTGAATTTATTGAATGTGTTTCATTCATAAGGCTTTTCCTTTTCTATTTTTACTCCTGTTTGCCCTGCATAATTAGCCAATAACCCTGGTTTATTTTGAATGTGTGCTTTGTGCAATTATCGTTAAGTGATAATTGTACAATGTGCAATTACGGCTATCATTTTTCGATACTTGCCCACTTCAAATGGACCAAATGGAGGTTCGTAAGGGTATCAAAATTATTATTTTGATGTACGAAGTCATATCAAGATTATTCTCCGAATTAAACATTTAAGTGGCACAAAACATGTATAAAATATAATTTCGGTTTCCACTTAAATCGAGCGACAAATATTATTGGAAAATGTATGCAAATAATATATAAAGTAATTATAATGTTTATGCAATCGCCTTCTTTCGTATAAATGGATATAATTTCATTCAGCTACAAAATGTTTGAGAATTCAGCATTTTCAGAGATTTCAATTCTAAATACAATACAAAAAAGACAATATTTCTTTAATATAATTAGGTTGGTTTTTGGCAGCACTCTTTGTATTTTGGACAATTTCACCGTCATTTCTGCTATCACCTTTCCGTCCAAAAATCACATTATCCCTTAAAACTGTAATTCGTCCAATCATAATTGATAAAGGCTCACTTACAGAAGCATGACCTGTCAGCTCGTAACTGACACGCTGCTAACAATTATAAATAGGCTTTCCAAACAATTCCAGAGTGCTGAATTAAAATCGCGATGAAAAAATTATTTTTGTCCCATTTTTAATACACGCGTTTTATTAAAAAATAGTTGCACTTTATCTAGTAAATATTTAGACATTTTTGAGGTCAGAAGTACAAATCTGGCGTTATAAAATAGTTACTCACAATAGAATAGGTTGTTAGAAAAGCAGGAAATACAAAAACAGAGAATTAGGAGCAGAAAAAAATTATAAAAACAGCAAAAACAAACTTGCGCATGATGGAAATGTTAAATTCGTAATCAGAATATTTTTTATGTTGCAGATCTTCGAACATCACTATGAATATCAACAACGCAATGAAAGTATTCTCTCTGTTTGTTGCTCTTATGTTATTCATTGCCAGTGCCACCTCAGCTCCCTCGTATTCTGGCGAATACGAAAGTAAGTATTGAGTAGCCAAACTGTTTTTTTCTTTTTATCGTAGTATTAAATATACACAGTGTATTTCATCCAGCAAGGTAAATTTCGTTGAGAAAAAAGTATAAATTCTTAGTTAAAAAGTATACAATTTTATCATCGAAATTATACCTGTAAGATTTTATAGAAATGCTTAGCGTCCAAAGCAATAATGCGCATCAGACGTTTCATATCTATCGAATATTTATACAGTTCTTAAAAGCAGAAGAAATTTGTCGTTTTAAATTTTTCTGAAGCATAACTTTATGGTAAACGGGTTTCAATTTCCAGGTTTTGATTACTTTGTACTTTAACTAACTATTTTTGTCTTAAATATATTTAATTATTGTGGTCAGTTATTTCTTAAAGTTTACTATTAATCAAAAATGTTGAATACTTATTTCAGTTGCGGATTCGTTATCCAAGAAATCTTCGTCTATTTTCTGTTTTATTATTTTTTATCATATAATTTGGTCGGCTCAATCAAAGTATCTTTTCTAAATGGTGTATGGCCGGTATGATTGTTGGCTTACATGCAAAATTTTAAAGCAAATAAAATAATCATCGTTTAGATATTACCTGAGCAATATTCTATCGAGCTGCCTGCATCATTTGGTATCGTCTGTTCGTATAAAAATGGCACTTGGGCTTTTTCGGTTAATTGAATCAATTTATGGAAACTTTTTAAATTCTATATTCACGCTTTTGTACTATATCTATTATATCCGATTTTAGAACTATTTTATTTTTAGAAAATTCTAAGCAATTTAGGAGCTAAAGAACGTACACAGAGGTTTCTATCACCTTCCTTTATTCCAAAAAAATATTTTTCTTAAACTTGTAATTCTATTGACTTTAACATTTTTTTTTGTGAAAACCGATAATTATAATAACAACAATAAAAGTAAATAAAACCTACTGGAGAATAATTTTTGATGCAGTCTGAAGTCCAGCTTGATATCCAAGCGAGCAAAATAACAATAATGTTCCTGAAGGTAGAAATGCTGCCAGATTTTAAAGTTTATTTAAAAGTTGTTTTAGCTTGCATAGTAAAGTATGTCCTTATTTATTGCTTCTCTTTTTATATTTTTTGGTACTAAGAGGGTTAAAGAGGGCAAAGTCTAATTACACATTAGAAAATTGTCTACAAAAACTGTGCTTTAATATAAGTCCAATTAAACAAAGGATTTGAAAAATTGAGGTTTTTTGTGTTAAGAAACATCCCAAATCGGACAAATTTGGTAAGACATTTCATGAATTTTTACATTAAATATTAATATTTGAAAAATGCATATACAAAAAGACTACACCTAAAATAGCAGCGTGACTGAATATATTATTTTTTAATCAAGATGATGGACATTCGATTGTAGCATGAGACTTGCTGGTTTACTGCCCATAAGTTATTAAAGCGATTTTCTGCTATAGTCATTATTTTCTCCCACAGTGACTAAACTAGGTTTTGATACTTGAAATTACGATTTTAAGTCATTACAGATGAAAAGAGAAATTTAAAGAATGCAATTAAATTTATTAACTGAAGGAATTTTTTTTGTAAATCTTTAGCTCATTTTTAAGGAGTTGGTCACGATTTTCGACGTTCTACTCCAAAGCCTCAAAAAGTGAGACCAGATTGTTCAGTTTTTAGGCAAATTTATAAATACGGCAACTAAAATAAATAAATGTATTTTCATCATGAGTTTTCGGGATATTCTGTATTGTAACAAATTTCGGCCAATCACGATCTCGTGATCGTGATCGTGACTGTTTACGTTCATGACCATTAGTGAATGATCAAAAATGAATTTTGAAAAAAGGAAAAAAAATGAAAAGCTGGAAATACTGATCAAATTGCTTCGAAACTGCCAAAAGTTCTGTAGTGGTTTCCCGCTTGTATTGATATAATATCTGCATTTAAACACACCGATTTTAACTTTCTGCATGTTTTCCATCATTTTAAAATTATTTTCTTACTTAGAATAAAGGTCAGGTACTCAAACTGCGATTTCTGACCATGACCGTATACAGAAATACATTTGGTTGAAGATTTTATTTTTTTATATAAAATTTTATAAAAGGAATAGAATACAAACAGGTCGTAACTCTTAGACTTAAGATGCAAAAATTAATGGCAATAAAATATTTTCAATCGTCATTAAAATAACATGAATTAAATTAATATAACTATTTCAAATTAAAACCTTTTCATATCTCGAGTCACAAATTTCTAGACCTATGTAAAAATAAAGCGTGAAAAATTGTTAAATGATCTGCGGAAAGATGTAATCGAGAAGCTGGTCATTTTTCACACACCATACGTTGTCATTTGAAGTCAAAGTCGAGCTATATCGGCAAAGAAAACGTTATTTAAACGAAATATAAAAATGACTAGATAAATTTGTATATTAAGCAGAATAATTATTTTTTTTCTCTTGCATCAATTAAGACAAAATCTTTGCCAAAATATCGAAAACAAAATTTAATTGTTTGATTTTGACTTCTTCAGAGATGAAATGATTCGAGTTCAGCCGGTATGGGAAGCAATCTAAATTTAGAAATGGTTTCTTGGAAAATAGTGAACTAACCTAGGCGTTCAAGCTATTTTTAGCACCATATTTAATATGTGGTAATTTTTTTCTAATTCTAGTTTTTTGTTATGCGGTTGATGGATTCCCAAACCTAATTCTGCTTTATTTTTATGACAAATAATATTTCCAAGAAAATAAAATGCCTATGTCGTGCATGAATGCACGAATAAATAGGGACTTACAAAAACTTAAATCTGAACCAATGGGCTGATGGTCCAATAGAAAACCTAGACAATATTACTATATATCGTATTGTATATCGAGACATATCTAAGTATGTATAAAATTTATCAGAAAATATTTTTATAAAATAAAGAAATTCAACTTTAAATATTGATGATTAAAAACAAAAGGAGCCATATATTGGCGTGCAAAAATATGTCAGCAATAAGTTTGTCAGTTTATTTGTAATGGAAATTTCTATTATTTTACTACAAAGCAAAGGAGAGTTCATTCTTTCAATCTGAAAAAAGGATGCTATTGGTGATTCTTCCACTTCTTGAATATTACCTTAAGGGAAAGAAACGGATGCCTGTTAGAACATTTTCCAATTTTGGTGTCGATCAAGTCACCTGCAGATTAGCTGAATTAACAGTTTTGCATAACAGATCGTCCCTCGTCATTCCAACGGAGGGATTCAACAGCATCTTCATCGTTTTAAATATCGGTGCCGACCTGTCACCTACAGGCTTTATCAGGGAAATTTTGTCGATTATACATACAACATTTAGTTTTAAACGAACGTCTGCAAAAAACATCTCCTTATTTATTCTGTATCCGAGCCTGTCTGTGCTGAGCGCTGAGCCGACTTATTAGTTTATTTCAGTATATTGTATACAGTTGTTATTCGGAAACTATTGACTGAATATGTATCAGGTGCTAACTAGGAGTTTGGTGCCTTCTTCAATGATTTCTATTGTCGGGAATTCGGAGAGATTGAATTGTTAAATACGTAACAGGCTAAAGGGCCCATTAAAGTCGACAGCATTCATAGACAAAAATGTGCATGGATAGAAATTTTACAAAAGTAATGGAAAATCTGGACCATATTCGGATTTCAGAATGCGAGCACTGACAATACTAGAGTCACATGTATTTTATTAGATCTATGCGTTTTCGCAAGAAAAAGTTTTCATATTCGAAAATTATTTTCGCTTAATAAATTTCTTGATTTAACTACAAACAAATTATGCTTTAAGCTAAAATCCATATTATTATAATACCTATAGTCACTTCTTAATTTAGGAGTATCAGTGACTTAAAGCAGGATTTTTTGAAAAAACATAGAAATAAGCAGATATTTCATTTGACTACTTCCCAATAAGTTTCGGAATTTCAAATTATCAGGTAAGTTTCTTCATAATAACTTGAACTTGCCATCTAGTCACAGTGTTTTTCTGGGTGAATGTATAAAAATAGGTTGCAAGAAACAATTTCCAGTTTTTCGGTTGTTTGTTACGAACGATGCGGCTCATCTTGCGGGTCGGAAGGTCAGCTGCCTCCTCCAAAGTCCTCATTACTTCCCCCATTGGCATATTTTTTGAAATTTTTAATGTAGTCAACGGATCGGACTGGTAATCGTCCTCTACTCCTTCTTCGGTCGACTTTGCACTCAATGACCAGCATCTCGATTACATCTTTCCGCAGATCATGTCCGAAATACCTTAGTAAACTTCTTTGTATAGTTGATAGAAGACGGTCCCTTGCATTTATTTTTCATTGCTGCGTAATTGTTGCATTTGTCTACATTTCCAATTCACTCAGTTAGAACTCAATTTTCCGTAGGCAGAAGCCTATAAGATCGAATGAGTCTGCTTCATGTGTTAAAATAGGAAATACAAGAGACTTAAGTTTTGTATTTATTCTTTGCATATTTCAACTAGTTTTGTGCTTGCAGATGTGGTCCTTTCAATTCGTCTTTTAATTTTCTCTTCACTTAGTCTTCTTTGCGTAATAAGTCCTCTTCTTCCAGGTAAATTACTTTTTCTTTCCTTCGATTATTTGAACAGTTGGAACAGCCTGAAGCTGAACCCTCTTGGCTTTGTCGATGACCGTCAGAAAGCATTTATTTTTATTTACTTTTAGGCCTACCTCTGCGCTGCAATTAATTCAATTAGTTAAATTTCAATTAGAAAATGTAAGTATCCTCAATGTCATTAAAACTGCAATATAAATTTGTACTACAAATTTACGAAAACTTTGATATTATAAATATTTTACAAAGCCCTAAATAAATTAAAACGGAAAAAGTGAACAGAATATGAAAATGCTCAAATAAAAACTGCTAAACCAAAAATAAATACCGTCGGGAATCTTGAAAATCATAACAAAAAACTTTGCTAATGAATCTGAAATGATAATGAAACGCACAATACTAGATTTGTGGTAAGGTATATTCAATAATTATTTGTGCAGAAACTGTAGGTCTGACGAAAATTGTACAAGAGATAAATCAACAAGGAGAACTGGGAGCAGAAACGTTTTATTCGTTCTTGCTCCGTGGAAACGCTTGACTACAAACTTCAATATTCAATTATTCTATTGAGTAATTAATTTTTGTGCTTATCTATAAACACAGCAATATTTTTTCAAAGGATAATTCTATCGAGAAAAATGTTTAGAAATCTTCATATCGAAAAAATGCTTTGCAGTAGTCATCCAAAGAGAAAAAAACATACATATATGTTATACTCTCCAAACGATTCAGTAACTGATTACTTTATAATGTAAATGTAATCTCATTGGCGGTGACATATATTTTAGGGTAATTTGTATTCAGTCGATATTATCAAGGATTATTCACAGTTTTCCGCTGAATTTGCTGAACCATTTCCACCCCTAATTGTAATTAAATGGCTATTTCTAAGTATGATAATTATACCACCGTTGCCAGCTGCACCTATTGTTTAGACTAATTAGTGCAACTTGAACCCGATTCGTGATGGCTGGCTGTTCTTAATTTAATAGTTATTGTGCGTCATTATAATTATTTTTTAGATAAGTCACAACTTGAAGTTTTCTAGATAAGTCCTATATTGTTAAGGCGGATTCATTTTTTACAAACTTCTTTTTGGGTATTTCGCCTCAAAAAGACAGAATTTCCTCACGTCTTTTATTACAGATTGATAAATAGTGCTCCTATTTCGCAATAAGAACGAATTATTTATCAAAAAGTA